TTATATTAATTAATATTATTATATTATAATATAAAATGTTAATTATATTAATAATATAGAATATTAACTGGCAATCTGGGGTGTTGGTTAAAATGCAGATCACCAGATGCCATCAAAGACCTTCTGAATTAGATTCTCTATTGGGAGGGAGATCCAGAAATCTGCATTTTTAACAAGGTTCCCTCTCCCAAATCACCCAAAACCCAAAACAGTGTGCTTCCTCTACAAATGTAGCTTCCTGACAAGTCCTTAGCTCTCCCTTCTAATCCAACTGGAGTCCCTATGCTGCTCTTATAGAAATTCAGAGCCACTCAGCGTATTAAAGTTAGAGAACCTCTCCCTAGAGGATGTGATCCCTCTAGACCTCTGATTTCACTTAAACCAAGTAAGTAATTAAAGAATCTGCAACATCTACTGGTTAATAGTGTGCTTGAGAAGCAATCCCTTCACGGAGTAGTGTGATGTTTGAAAACAATAAAAATATTCATTGCTTCCAGTTACCAAAGGCTCTCAAATTCAAGCAGCTGAAGAAGCTAGAGTAGAGGTTTATACAACCAACGTATAGATAGTCACCATCCCCAAACCAACTTTACCCAGTCACTTTAACTTCTGTCTGATTATAAATAAGCCATCCTTCCAACACTAATGACCATAAATCATGTTTATGACTACCTAAAGACAGTAAACAATAGTTAAACATCGACAACCAAACCTCCATGGAAACTGCTCCTTCCGTAAAATTAGGCATTGACTTTGATATACTCTTGCATATTAAATCAGGAATGAGTGTTTTAAAAAAAAAAAAAAAAAAAACCTCCTGATTTTGAACATATTTCAAACGTCCTTTGAGAAACAAAGAATATCTATGCCTATCCAGAAATGTTAACTAGAAAGAAAAAAGTTTTCCTCTAAATAAACATCAACAGACTAGCATGAAGTCTTTTTCAATCCAGCCCATGTGGAAAAATGTCTCAGAAGAAACATTTACAATATATCTTTAGTATTAAGAGTTTAATTTACATAATAAATATTTTTAAAAGCAAAAAAATGGATTTTCTTTTATTTTCTTTCGACTAGCTCACTGAAGCATGTGTAGATTTTCTGTCTAGGCTTTGCATGTTATTCTACATGTGGGACGGTCTTGACATTAGTTCACTCAAGTCCACTGAAACTTGGTTCAACCTCAGTAACCTTTAATACCAGGCAAAACAGTCTTATTTTTGTGACCAATTCTGATATTTTTATGATTTTTATGATCAATAGGTATTTCATGCGTCCCTCAAAAATAATCTGTTTACAAGACTGTACTTCTAAGAAATAAAGAGTTGACTTACAATGGCTCCACTTGAGACAATTACCTAAGAATCAATCCTGTGATGAATTGTTAGCAGGAGGGCACACCTTTATTTCATTTAAGACCAAAGGTTTCACAATCTTCAAAAAGCTTTGACCTTTCAGCTGAAATTTTCGTTATTGAAAAAAATAGGTCACAACTTTAGTTTTTCCTATCTTAGGAGAGGTGGAGGTAAGAATTGCCAAAAACAGGAAAGCTGTCTAAAGCCTTATTTGTAGTTTCTAGAAAGAGGTCAGGTAGTCTAGAAAGAGGTCAGGTAGTATAGAAAGGAAATAGAAAGCATACCCTCACTCATTTGGGGTTTAATCTCTTCATCCATGTCCAAATCTTCTAAATCTAGGAAATTGTTTACCTAGAAAAAAAAGAATTAACATCATTTTTAAGCAGAATAGACCTAAAGAAAAACTGCAATGAAAAGTCAATGAATTCACTTCCACAACACCTAACTGAGCAGCTGAATCCACTTTTCTCATTAACTCTTGAGGCCCAGCACAAGGCTTTTGTGTTCACTGTGCTTTCCCAAGAGACATCTGAAAGAAGTAGTAAATTTGAAAGCTGACCTGGATTTTGGCAGGCCAAAATGGCACCATAGACAGACCTCTGCATTGAAAGGGAAAAAAGTAGTCTGAGACTTTTTAAAAAGGGACTTTGTTCCAGATTCTATCCCAGAATATATACCACCACCATGACAATCAAAAACAGTGTTTCTGGGTTTTGTTTTCATTTTATTGCTTTTGCCTCTCAAGCAAATGGTGGTGGTGGCTCTGGCTACTGTCGTAACAGCAGGCTTTCTTACAGCCCTCTGAAGAGCCAGAGAGAAGAAACTAAAGAAAACAGGAGAGAAAAGTTCATGCAAAACAAAATCACAAGAGAGGTGAGCAGGGCAAAAACTCAAGTGTTTTCTCTTTCGAGCAAATAAAACTGAAAATTACTTCAAAGGTAAAAAGCAGGGCAAATGACCTTTACAGACACAATAGCAGCATTTCAATGAAAAACTATTCCACATGGAATACTGCTTTCCACTGCAAGCTGACAATGAGACATTTCAGATTAACAAAATGGTAAGATTTAGACAGGAACTAATTCATCTCAAGTGAATATATCAAAGAGTGTAAATAAGAAAATGATCTCACCACTGGCACGAATGAGACTGAGTAAAGGAATAAGGTGGCAATGCCTTTTATGCTCATGACCTAAACATGTGCATAACAAAATACCATAAAATTACAAATTTACATTTCATAATTGTAATTCAAAAGACAGGCTGGGTCTTTCTTCCCTCAGCTCTACCTGTGAGACCAGAGCTATTACATAGGAATTTTAAATGGTACTTCTATTGCTTTTAAGTACATACCTGCAGTTATTATCTGGCATCCAAGAGAAGGCAAAAATTTATCTTCCATATAATGGTTTCACTACTAAATTTTGAAATTCTCTCGTATTATATTGTTATTTACATAGTGGTGTGTGCTGAGGGTGCTATACCAAAGCACCCCTTTCATTTATTAAGCTCTAAGGAAAAAAGATCCAGAACCCAGCTGACCAAGAATAGTTTAAGATATTCAAACACCAATGAATAAAAATAAAACAAAAAAAAAAAACTTGCAAGGACAAAATCTGCTGAATTCTCCAACTTTGTATAAGGGACAGTAAATGAGTCCTGTGTTTTTAGTTTGTTTGTTATGTTTTTGGTTTTTGCCAGGAAAATTGAATCATGCCTTATCTTCACCTTTTATGCCCAATTCGGATCACCTTGAAAAGAACTGCCAACTTTTTGGCCTTCATCCATCACTATCTGAAAAAATACTTTTTGTCCTTCATCTGTCACATATTGATGGAAAAATGAAACAACCGAAAATAAAGAAGCTGATCTTGTAGCCCTTCAGATGACAAAACTCCCCTTCCTATTTTTGTTAATTAGCTAAGCATAACAGACCAAATTCAGTAAGCCATAGCAGAGGTCAGGGAATAGGTTTCAGGAGCTCTGATTCTACTTCTGTCCTATAGACTCATCCACAGTGTAACCTACAATAGACTACTTAACCTCAGTCTTCTCATGAGTAAAACAGGAATACTTCCCACTCCTATCCCATCCCAATGAACCTCTGATGAACAAATCGAGAATGCTAACACACATTTTCAAGTTATTATAAAACAATGTCATTCAACCATTTTTTTTCTCACATGCTGGTTAAAGACTCTCTATATAATATAATCCCCAATGGTCAGTCATTGCCAGTAAAGAGTGAAAAAAGTTTCATATCCCACAATTATCTCTCTGGAAGCAAGTTCTGGAAATTAAGAATTATAGGCATCTGCTGTATAAAAACTATTTCTAGCACAGAGATTTTTGTTCCCTTGTGGAAAAAAAAAAAAAGAACACAATATACAATTCTGTCTACAATATTGCAAGGAAGCATGACGAAGCAGATATTAGAAACTAAATGGCTTAAAAAGCAGACAGTTTCCACTATAATTCCTTGATAATTAAAAACTATAGCTGAGAGAATGTGAAGAGTCTATAAAGTCTTCAAGATTAGAAAAAGAGTATCTAACATTTATTGACCAAATCTTAGAGGAAACAAAATAACCGATTCCACCTTGAGTTGAAAGAGATGAATCTAGGAGAGGTGAAAGAAAGCCCATTTTACACAGGTAATTTAGAAAGGAACTCTTTGTCTCAACTAGAGAGAAGATAAGCTAAAGAAATAATTTCAATAATTTATAGATGGCAGATCCTTAAGAACTTTTTAATAAAACTTGGGGATAACCGATTATCATCATAAACGAATAGCTGTCAAAATCATGAAATACATAGTAATTTTGATGACCTTTCAATAAAGTGCCCCAATGGTACTCCTCATAGAATGTTAGTGAGTTAGCAGATCTAACTATCTAGTGTTTAGGTAGGGCTCTCTCTCTTTTTTTTTCTTTTTTTTTTTTTTTTTGATTCATGAAGAATTCTTTTCTTCTCAGATTGTTTCTATAAATGTACTATGTTGGCATTACCTGTTCTTCCAAACACTGTGATGAAGTACGAAGAAAGATGGTTTTATTTCTAAGATGGCAGTTATTTGCTTCATTTTTATGAGTAACTTTTGCTGAGGTAAAAATGTTTTCTGAAGAATCAGTTCCAAACACTCCCCTTTCGGACACAAGATCCTCTGAAATAAGAAATTATGCACTATTAGAAAACATCCACAACACCCAGTCTGGTTTATTTTGTGTATATTGAGAAAGTTCCTTGCAACAAAAAAGAATACTTTTCAAAGAATTCTACAAACTGAACCCTTAAGGCATTAAGCACTCTGAACTATTAAAACTGATTTCTAAAATTGGATAGAAAGATAACATTATGTCACTCAACATATATTTACTGAGTGCCTATTACATATCCAGCACTGTTCTTGGGCGATGTTAAAAAGTTAGTAAAATACAGTATTTGCAAGACTCTTAGACATGACCTATCCCATCTATTTCTAAATTTGAGGGATTTTTTCTTTATATGAAAGCAATTTATGGATGATTTTAGAAACCTTGTGAGGGAAAAAAGTAAAATATGAAAATCACTCATAATCCTACAAGCCAGAAAGGCCATAACAAAGTTTTTTCAGTGGCTATCTAAAATTTTTTATGTATCCATGCACTAAAAAAAATCCAAATTCAATCATACTGTACACAACTCAACTTGCCAGCAGTATCTCTTTTCAGGTTATTGAATATTCCATGTAATTTTAATAGTTATCAAGAACTCCTTTATATAAATGTAAGATAGTTTATTTAACCAATTCCTTATTCTTGACTGTTTAAAATTATAAACATGAATATATTTGTACTAAATCTATGTACATTCATGATTATCTACTTAGGCTGAGGAGAGCATCTAAGAGTAATCCTAAATTAAGAGACTAAGACAATTATATCATGATGCTATTAAAAGAAATGTGGGGGAAAATGAAATAATTTTGGTAAAAGATAATGAATCTAGCTTTGGCCATGTGGCATTTGAAGTGCCAGTTGAAACTGTAGTGGAAATGACCGAACAGCAGCTGCAAATGTAGGTTAAGATCTGGGAGAGATTTCACAGGAGGTAAATATCTGGTCATCAATTACACTGAGGTAATAGTTTAAGCCATAACATTATTTTTAATATTAATAGTAATATTAAAATTAATAATCAAGGTTAACATTCATTGAGTGTCTGGCACTCACCCTATTCTAATAAAAGGTGAAACAGTTTCCGTTTTCCCTGCTCAAAAGCATCTCATGAATCATTTCATTTAATCCTCAGAATACCACTAAAAGTAGACACTGTTACTATCCTCACTTTACAGATTAGAGAACTAAGGCCTGCAGAGAAAGAGTAACTCACTCAAGGCTATACAGATGGTTAAGCAGCAGAGTGGGGATCTGAACACTGCCTTCTGACTCTAGAACCTATCCTTCTAACCACTGTGCCTTGCTACCTGCGTTAGTGCAGCAAATGAAAAGGTCTTTAGAGAATAGAAGAAAAAAGCAGCAGAAAGGGCAGGGGGTGGCGGAGAGCCAGAAAGGAGACAAAGAAAAATGGCTTACAATAGTCAAAGAAGAACTAAGGGTGCAGGGTACATTCCAAAACTGAAACTTGCTTCTTCTGACAATAGCAAGTACAGGAACCTATGTCAATGATCACTAAAAGAGTGATAAAGGAATTCAAAAGAAGTCAAGTGGCAGAAATCAAGCCATTGTTGGACTGGGCAATCCTACTCCATCCCCTTCCTAGCCTCTACTATAAAAATGTTCCAGAGACCCAGCAATTGTTTTATCTGTGAGTTCCTTAGGAACATCCCTAACTGAAGGGGTTACAGATAGCCTAACCCAGCACAATGCCCATGTTTGTTTCCCTTGACCTGTCAGTGCATGGCATCAAAATCAGTGAGATTCATGTTGTTGTAATGATCACAGCCTGGTACAAATCCAATTAACATCATTTGTTTGCTTCTGAATACCCTATCATTGGTAGAATTAAGACTTGTGAGGATATGTTTAGGACATAACACAGATATACTGATAGGAAGCAGAGATAAGGTGACCTAATCTATAATACATAATTAATAAGCCAGAGAGGGAAAACACAAATATGAAATGCATCACACTCTCTTTAAAAAGGTCATATCCATAAATAACACCAGCTCAGGCCAGCTCTCTACTACTGCCTACTGCACCAGCACCAGTGACTTTGAACTAGCTACTAGCGGGAGAGGTGGCCCCTGCCTTTTGCCTCAACAAATCCTTGGAAATTCTGGTGTGAAGCACCCAACCTTGGCTTCTGTGGGTGGAGGGCTGGGGGGTGCTGAGCAAAGTGTGGGGAGGGTTGCTAAGAATATGCTGGAGTAACCAGCCCTATACAAGATGAGATAAATGAGGAAGAAATGGTCTTAGGCCTTAGTCTCCCTGACTTCTTCCACTTTTACAGCCACAGAGATGTCCTGAATCAGTCCTAGGGCAAAAAGCATTGGTAGCAGAGTAAAGCAAGATAGGCACATAGACACTTGGAAATAGGAGTTAACTGAGGGATGAAAGGGTTCCTCAAACTTCATCAATGTTGAAAGGAAAGCAGACTTCCTGTGGCTACTGCCATGCCTTAGTGCCCTATTCTAATAAAAGGTGAAACAGTTTTCATTTTCTCTGCTCATCCTTTAAGTCAAGTATAACCTAAATCTAGTAATTACTAAGAAAATACTATGTACCCAGCACAACACTATTGTAATAATCTATTGACTTAAATACTTGAAAAGCACAGCAATGTCTGAAAATCAAAGATGTTCTACAAGGACGAGTTCTATTTGTTCTCACAATCACTCAGTGTACTCTCTACTATTTCCAGTAAAACACCCAGGTTATGTGACAGGTAACCAGATGAAACTCCTCTGAAATAAAGAACAAAATATAATGAAGTCTCGGCTTCTGATCCTGATGTTGGACTATTATTGGGATCTCAGATCTAACAAAAGTTCTTTCACTCTTTTAAAAATTCTCCTTTTATAAACACAAAGTTTTCATTTTTAAAAGACTGGATGATGTAGAAAAGAACTTGTTCGCTCTCTGACAAAAGCTACAGTTTACGGCTCCTTTCTAAACTTCAAAATTGGTTTCACAAGAACATATGCTATATCCCTCCTAAGACCCAGACGTGCTCCTTCTAAAGGTTTTTATCGTTGTTTTTAAAATCCAGCAAATAATAAATATCTTGGCACAATAAGAAAGGAAAAAAAAGTTATTTTTCAATATGATAATGTCAAAATGGCAGATGCCGGCACAGCCCAGAATCCGAAGTGGCTGAAAGCCTGATTAGAGAGCCAGATGCCGCTTCCTATAGCCATCCTGGTGCAATCCAAAAGTGCCACCCAAGTGTTCGACTCATCTTCTTCTGTTTCTGTTTTTCATCAGGGTCCTCTTCCACCCTTTCATCTTATCCCTAATGTTTCTTGCTTTGAAATAAATGTCAGACATAATACGGTTTAGAAATCTAACAGCAATATTTCAGAGAACAAGTAGGTTATTGAGACCTGAAAAAGCGTTTCTTTGGGCATTTCTGAGTCAAAACTTCAATACAGATGAGACAAAAGTTTTTTTTCTAAAGGTTTTTCGAGGTTTCATTATTCTGAAGCAATGGAATTTCAATTTCCTTTTGATACCAAACAGACAAGCTTCCAACAGATCTCCCTTACAAGGCCACCACTACACCTATAGGGTCTAATTTCAGACCAAAGAAAAAGGTTACACACCTTGAAAAGGTTGAAACTTTTGATGTCTTGATAAATTAAACACTAACCACATATTGATTATATATCTTCCAGATAAAAGTGATTTTTTTAAACAACTCAATTTCGAAAGAAACTTTTTTAAAAATTCAAATTAATCTGTAAAAAAGCCAGACTAGTGCCCATGCAATGAGGAGCATTATCACACTTGCAGGAGAATTTTCACAGATCAGCACAACCAACATTAGAATTCACAACCAAATCTGCCAGCAAGCTCGGAGTGTCTGTTCTTCCACACTCTGGTCAATAGCAATATAAATCAAGAGCATGTTCTCAGTTGAGAAGAGATATTGAATATATTGCTAGAAGGAAAGAAAAATTCATGAGGGGACAATTCTGTGCAACACTAGGCAATTGCAAAAAGCCTTCTGCAAAGAGAATAGGGGATAAGCAATCATGCTGATAACAAGATTGGGTACTCTGAAAGTCAGGGCGTGATTTTTGCATTATACTCCTTGCCTAGAGCAATGTTTCTCTGGACAATAATATTTGCTCTTGATTTGTCCAGCCAAGCTACTTCACTCCACTGCTTCTTGATCTCATGCTCCTTGGTATCTGGCCTCCCCTGGAGTGACAGTCGTTAGAACTAAATAAGCAATTTAAAAACCAATCAATCATAAATCAGAATAAATCCAAAGAAGCTAAATTCGGCTGACAAATGCTTTGCCTAAATTCCCTTTGCAGTGCTCTGAATTCCAACTGTTTTATGTTCCTCATTTGAAAGGGCACGGGGAGGAGAGGATTACCTCAGTCTGGCCAGTCAGGAATAACTGTGCTTTCCCCGAGGCTGGATGATAATTGACTCATTATTCACAGTCATAGCCATCAACCTGCCAAGGCACAAATGCACAACCCTGGCCTAGAAAAATGTGTGTGAAAAGCCCCAGATGAGAGACACAATAGCAGTAAGTTGAAATTTTTGAAATGTCCAATGTTAGGCACTTACAGAGAGAAAAATATGAAGAGAGTGTAATGTTTCTGAAAGCTTATTTTCAGACAGAAAAAAGTTCTGTGTGGTGGCTGAGTTACGGAGCTCATTCAATCCAAAAGTTATATTCTGGTCATCAACTATGTGCAAGGTGACAAAGATGGTTAACACTCAGTCCTTGTTGTCCTTACAGAGTTTACAAACTAGGAAGGTAAGCCATATATGCAAACCACCAAAATAGAAGGCACCGATGGCAGATGATATAAGGGAGGTACAAAGACAAAGAATGGTAAAATCATAATTGGTTTGGGAGAATCACAAAAGGCTTCACATAGGACTAAGGCATCTGAGCTGGGCTTTGAAAGACAGCTAAAATTTCAACAGGCGAGCACTGTGAAGAGGTCCTTTTACACAGGGAAAATTCCCTGAGCAA